GCTCGGGTCATGATCCCAGGACGAGACCCTAATTGTGCTCCCTGCTCGGTGGGAAGCCTGTTTCTCCTTCTCCCATTCCCCCTGCTTGTGTTCCCTCTCTCGCTGTTTCTCCCTCTGTCAAATAAATAAAATCTTAAAAAATAAAAAAAATAAAAACCTTAATTTACCTGAAATTTATATGTAATATGAGAGGAATTATAACAAAAAAAACCTTCCAGATGGTCACTTGTCATTCCCTATATGTTAAATAAATCTTCCACAAAATTGAAATGCCACCTTTATTACATAGCAGCAGCCTTACAGTACATTTAGAATTTTTTTTTCACATCTGTCTTTATTCCATCTGGAATTATGTAAAATTTATTTTTAGGGAAAACCATTAAGTTTTCCCATCCCAGAATGTAGATTGTCTTTTCATTTATTTAGATTTTATGGCCTTACCTAAGATTTTATAGTTTTCTTCATACATGTCTATGTCTTCTTTATTACCTTATTACCTATTCCTTAAATATTTTATTTGTTTGTAGCCATTCTGAATGGAATTTTTCCTTGTATTTCCATTTTTGGATAGTAATTGCTAATGTAAAGAAAAGCTATTAATGTTTGAATATTTTTCTTGTAGTAAGCCACCTTACCCTATTTTCTTATTTTTTAAAAAAGTTTAATCTCTGCACCCAGTGTGGGGCTGGAACTCATGACCCTGAGATCAGGAGTTGCTAGCTCTTCTGACTGAGCTAGGCAGGAGCCCCTTCCCTATTTTATTATTAATTTAAATAGTTTTCTTATTAGAGTCTCTTGTGTTTTCTGGGTATTCAAGGATGGCAAAAGAGAAATAGTTTTGTCTCCTTATATTCAGTGGTTAAGCCAGTTATTTCATTTTCTTTTTTTTTTCTTTTATTTATTCATTTGACATAGAGAGACACCGCGAGAGAGGGAACACAAGCAGGGAGAGTGGGAGAGGGAGAAGCAGGCTTCCCAGAGCAGGGAGCCCGATGCGGGGCTCGATCCCAGGACCCTGGGATCATGACCTGAGCTGAAGGGAGCTGCTTAACGACTGAGCCACCCAGGCGCCCCAGTTATTCCATTTTCTTATTCCATTGACTGGAACCACCAAGATGGTATTACCTAATGATATATCCCTTCCTAGTTGCTGATATGAATTGAAATGGTTTTAATATTTCACCTTTTTGAATGATAATTGTGTTTTTGATAGATTTTGTCATTTATTGTAGTCCTCTCTTTTATTAGAAGTGATTATGGAGTTTTAGCAAATGTGTTTTCAGTATCTACTGATAGGATTGTGTGGCTGTTATATAAACATTCTTGACTAAGGATGTACATTAGAATGCATTGTGCCCTGAAGGTGTTTAGAGTGCCCTTGCCATAACCCTGTTCCTTGTTTTTCCTGCTATATAGTAATGTCTTCTTACATGGTACAAGAACAAACTTCAGATGCTTTGTGTTTGGAATTTGGTTATAATTGTATATGCTGTTAGAAGTTACTTTGCAAGTCTGCAGAGTGTAAAAGTGAGAAACCATTTATGTTGAGAAAATTCTTTTCTTTTTTGTATTGTCTCTGAGGGTTTGGTGTCAGTTATGTTGGCTTTATAAAACACTAGTGTTTTTTTTTTCTGCTCAGAATAGCTTGAATAACATAGTAATTATCTGCAGCTTGAGGTTAGGAGAAACTGCTCTTAAAACCTTTATGGGTCTGCTCGCCCCCCCCCACTTTGAATGGTATGTCTTTAACAACCTTTCAGTGTGTTTTTTACTCATTGATCCAGTCAAGGATTTTTCTTCTGTAATCAGTTTTGGAAATGTGTGTTTTTGGGGCGCCTGGGTGGCTCACATGGTTAAGCATCTGCCTTTGGCTCAGGTCATGATCCCAGGGTCCTGGGATCGAGTCCCGCATCAGGCTCCCTGCTCCTTGGGAGCCTGCTTCTCCCTCTGCCTCTCTCTCTCTCTCTCTCATGAATAAATAAATAAAAAGTTTAAAAAAAAAAAGGAAATGTGTGTTTTGCTATAGAAGCCACCCATGTTTTTTGTATCAAGTGTATTATGAAGTTAAATCTCTGACGAGGGTTTTATTTCTCCTTGGCATCCACATCTTTGGGCATCTTTTTTTCCCCCTGCGTGGTGTTTAAAACCTAAGAAATCTAATTGTTACATAAAACAGTAGATGGTGGCAAGATGGAGAATATAAAAGTGATTTTGAGCATTCTCTGAGGAAAGGGCCTTGTGTCCCTGTAATCCCGCTTAACAGCAGTCTTGCTCAGGCCCTCCAACAGAGATGCCCCAGGTTAGCCTAGTCTGTCTGTCTGTCTTTTTTTTTTTTTAAGATTTTATTTATTTGACAGAGAGAGACACAGCGAGAGAGGGAACATTTTTTTTTTTTTTGGGAGAGGGAGAAGCAGGCTTCCCGCTGAGCAGGGAGCCCGATGCGGGGCTCGATCCCAGGACCCTGGGATCATGACCCGAGCCGAAGGCAGACTGACGCTTCACTACTGAGCCTCCCAGGCGCCCTAGCCTAGTCTTTATAACGTGTTGCTTTTTCTTTGTGCTCCTTAAACACCTTATTGTAATTCTGTTAACTAGGATGATCCACAAAAAAGAAAAACCCACCCTAAAAACATAAACCAGAAATATAAGGGGTAGTCTGTGTTGAGGGGTGATCATACATTAAAATGGTCCCTGGATTCTGGACTTGGTCAGAATCTTCTATGTGGATTTCCTTTATCTCACTCAACACAGCACGTTGCACTCTGCTCCTTCCCCAGTACTTTATATTTTCAGGTTGTGTTTTTTGTTTGTTTTGTTTTTAATTTTTGGATAAATGCTGTTTTTTTTTCTTTTTCTCTTTTGTTCCTCAACCATGTGAATATAGATCTATCTTAACTGATTTTTTTTTATGTATAAGCTAAGTTGCTAACGAAACAAGTCACATTTTATGTGTAATGTTTTATTTAAAAACACAACTATAAATATGAACGCTTATACAAATATATGCTTCTATGTTTGCTTATACAAATAAGCATATAGAAACATATGGAAGCTTTTTTTTTTTTTTTTTTTTAAAGATTTTATTTATTTAAGAGATATAGAGCAGGAGGCACGAGAGGGAACAGGGTCAGAGGGAGAAGCAGACTCCCTGCTGAGCAGGAAGCCCGATGTGGGACTCGATCCCAGGACTCCAGGATCATGACCTGAGCCGAAGGCAGTCGCTTAACCAACTGAGCCACCCAGGCGCCTGAAACATATGGAAGCTTTTACCTTGGTGGTGGGTTGCAGGGAGGAAACGATCATTTGTTGATTACACATTTCTGTATTACATGTATTACTTCAGTAACTTGAGAATATTTATTTCAAAAACCTCTCAATCTGGGGCACCTGGGTGGCTCAGTCGGTTGGGCTGGGCGTCTGCCTTCTGACCTGGTTGTGATCTCCCGGGCTCCCTGCTTGGTGGGGGGCCTGCTTCTCCCTCTGCTCCTCCCCCCCCAAACTCACTCTCTCGTGCTCTGTCTGAAATGAATAAATAAAATCTTTAAAAAAATAAAACCTCTCTATCTGGTTTCAGCATTTCAGTTCATTCTTTGATAATTGAATGCAGTCAGCCACCTTAAATCTGGTTCACATTAGATACATCAGGATAATTTGGGGACATTTGCTTTTAGTTTCATCTTTTAGTGTTCTTTGTTGTAGGGCCAGTGTTTTTTTGGATAGGTTTTATTTTTATTTATTTTTTATTTATTTATTTTTTTTAAAGAACTTATTTGACAGAGAGAGAGCACAAGCAGGGGGGAGTGGCAGGCAGAGGGAGAAGCAGACTCCCTGCTGAGCAAAGGAGCCTGATGCAGGGCTCTATTCCAGGACCCTGGGATCATGAACTGAGCCGAAGGCAGTTGCTGAACCAACTGAGTCACCAAGGTGCCCCTTGATTGGTTTTAATGTTTCGCTCTAGTTTTTCTTTTCTTTCTTCTTCTTCTTTTTTTTAGTAATCCCTACACCCAACGTGGGGCTCAAACTCATGACCCCAAGATCAGGAGTCACATGCTCTTCCAACTGAGCCAGCCAGATGCCCCCACTCTTTAGTTTTCAGTTAATTTTTATAAAATTTTTTTTTTTTTAAGCAGTAGACTTCTTTTTTAAAATGAAATCTGATTTGGATGCCTTATGTGTGAAACAACTTTCATGGATCTGTAGTTCTCAGTATAGTTTAAAAAACCACTGTAATACAATACTTAGGTAATGTTGTAAGTACATCCTGACAAAGACAGTGTTGCTGCTGATGGGACACTTCTGAGAAGCAGGGGGTAGCATCATGCCATCATTTGCAGCTTAAGATGTTTGTGTCTTGTGTGAACACTGCATTTCATACAGGAAAAGCATTCAGAGGTGTTGGTCCCCAAATGTCATTTGCTTAAGAAATTAATATAGAGAATTGCATCTTTAATCAACTACCAGACTGACAACATAAATGTCATTATTAGGAAGGAAATGGCACTGCTGGTTGGCTGGTGTTCATGAAGGTTTTAGAGAGTTCATCCGACTTAAGATAGTTTGACAGATTGGATATTTAAAAGTTTGTAATTCAAAATAACCAACATAACCCCATTACCTGTTTACATAAATAACATTTTTTTTGTGAAAAATAACTTTTCTAAAACAAAAATAGTGAGAAGAGCATTGTTTCACAGTTTTACAAATTGTCCTTAATGCTTGCCTAAGTAGAAGTTGGCAGAATTCTTCCATCTACTTTTGTATGCACTCTGTTACAATATCACTGGTGCTGTGGCCTTAGGAGAGCTCATCTGTAAACTTAGGAGATAGGAGAGTAAAGAGGCAGATGCCATCTTGGTATGATAATGAAAATAGGTGTGACCCCCTGGAATCCCTGAGCCAGCCATCCACACTTTGCAAACCATTGCGTCCACCATTCGAGAGCTGGAGGATTCCTGCTATGTTGCAAATGCTCCATGAACTCTTTCTTTGCTTTGTTGCAGAATCCTTTGGGCAGAATTATCCAGAGGTAAGAGTATAGCCTTTTTTTTTTTTTTTTTTTTAAGAATATAGTCTTACTGTGAATTTAGGAGTATGATAACTTGCTAGCTTTTGTGTTTGAGCGGAAAATGTTATTTGGTCCCCCCCCGTTTTCTTTGACAACAGAAGCTTTAAGTGCTATAATAAAGAACTCAGTGTTTAATTTTGAGGAGAGAGGAAATAGATAGGCAGTACTGGTGGGAAATCTCACCATAACCTCTTAATCTTATGCAATTCATTTGCCAGTAAATTAAAAAAAAATACTTGGAAGGATTTTTCACAAACAGTACCATCACCTATAGGTAGATTTTTTTTTCTGCGTGCTTTTCTAGTTTCAGTCAGTGTTTTTGCATAGTAATAATATGTATGCTGTAAGTGTGTTTTACTTTTTTAAATGTAAAAATATTTTGTAATATTTGAAATGTGTTTCAGTGTAGCCATTATGGTTATTTTAAATTGCTTGATATGAATATAAAGTAATGTATTTGACTTCCCTAATGTTGCACATACAGGTTCTAGGGGTTTTGTTTTAAATTATTTTTCTTGTAATAAATCCCAAGAACTATGATTACTGGGTCAGTAGGATGACTCTTTTCAATGAATCTTGTTATATTTTGCCTAATTGCCGTGCACAGTGGGTACAAAGTCATACTGGTAATGTATGGGATTTATCACATCTGCTTATAAATATTTCCTTGTTTTGGCTAGTTTAATAGGTATAAGAACACACGTAGAATTTCTTTTGGTATACATCGTAATTTAAATTAAAAGAGAAGTGTCATAGGTGATAGAGAATCTTTAAGAAATAATTGGGTACCTGGTGGCATTGTCTATATTCTTGTATTCATTTTAATTTTTAGGAAGCTGATGGAACTTTGGATTGTATCAGCATGGCCCTGACTTGCACCTTTAACAGGTGGGGCACACTGCTTGCAGTTGGCTGTAATGATGGCCGAATTGTCATCTGGGATTTCTTGACAAGAGGCATTGCTAAAATAATTAGTGCACACATCCATCCAGTTTGTTCTCTATGGTAAGGAATTTTAATATTAATGTGTTGAGTATGAGTTGAATTAGGGGGATGAATGGTGACTGTGAAATTGCCAGTCTCATTGTACTAGATATTTTAATACTTAGCATTTTAAGTGTTCAGTCATTAGTAGTACAATTTCTCATAGCATCTGTAGACCTTGAAAAAAAATGCTGTCCTTGGAATACATTTGTGGGGGAGAAATTGAGTGTACTTGTGGATCTGTATCAGGCTCTATCTGAGAATATTTCAGTACTGAAACGAGATATTTACAGTTTGCAGCTGTAGTAGTATTTGTGATATTGACTTTTCATTTAGAATGGAAAACCTTGATTAGGAGGGAAACTTGGAAGTCCTCTCCTTCAGCTTTGTCCAGGTTCTTGAATTCCAGCAGTTTTAGTGATCACAGGCATATCTGTTCCTTCACTAAATTATAGTTAAGGCTTTCTATCAAATAGATTGAGCTAAAATCTAGTGTAATATAAATTCCCATTGATTTCTTTCTTACTCTCTGGGACTACTGTGTTTGCTTTGGGAAGTTTTATTTTAGGGCAGCTCTTCTAAATGAACTTGGGGCCAAAAACACCTAATCAGATCTAGATTTTTTTTTTTAAGATTTTATTTATTTTTTTTAGAGAGAGCAAGCAAGTGCGCACAAGCGAGCTGGGGGAAGAACAGAGGGGGAGGGAGAGGAACAAGCAGACTCCACACTGAGCATGAGTCCCGTGTGCGACTCAGTCTCACAACCCCGACATCAGGACCTGAGCCAAAATCAAGAGTAAGATGTCCAGCTGACTGAGCCACCCAGGCGCCCCGTAATCAGATCTAGATTTATGAGGCTTGTAACCTATTTCTTTTTGTGTAAATGGAAATGGGAGCTATATTGTAAAGCACTGGATTGGGAGGAGGCCTGAATCCCAATCTAGGTTTGGCTGCTAATAAACTAGCTTTGGCCAAAACTTGTCTGTAATATGCAAAATGAGAGTACCAGCCACTCCCGCCTGTTAAAAATAGTGCATTTTTTTTTTTTTAAGATTTTATTTATTTATTTGAGAGAGAGAGAATGAGAGATAGAGAGCACGAGAGGGAAGAGGGTCAGAGGGAGAAGCAGACTCCCTGCCGAGCAGGGAGCCCGATGCGGGACTCGATCCCGGGACTCCAGGATCATGACCTGAGCCGAAGGCAGTCGCTTAACCAACTGAGCCACCCAGGCGCCCCTGTTTTTATTGTAAAGTAATACATAATCATGTAGAACCTTATGGAAAATATAGCAAAGCAAAAAGAAGTACTAGTATCTCCCATAGTCCCACCACCCAAGTATTCCTACTGTAAAGATTTTAGTATGTTTCTATATATAGTTTTTAAAGAGCAGAATTTGGGGGTGCCTGGGTGGCTCAGTCGTTGTGTCTGCCTTCGGCTCAGGTCATGATCCCAGGGTCTTGGGATTGAGCCCCTCATCGGGCTCTCTGCTCCGCGGGAAGCCTGCTTCTCCCTCTCCCACGCCCCCTGCTTATGTTCCTTCTCTCGCTGTGTCTCTCTCTGTCAAATAAGTAAATAAAATCTTTAAAAAAAAAAAAAGTCAGAATTTGTAATCATGCTATGTTCTGTTTTATATTTTGCTTTTTTTCTCCCTAACATCGGACAGTTTCCTACTTGCATACCTCTAAAAACCTTTTTTATGGCTATATGTCTTCTCATGGATAAATTATAATTTATTTAACAGTTTTTTGCTATAGTTTCTCTGCTGCATGTTTAGTAAATGTCTTTGTGAATAAACTTTTTCACTTACACATTCATTCAGCAATGTTGAGCATGAATTACGTGGCAGGTACAGGTACTGAAGCTTTATGGTTCCTATACAAGAACTGTGTTTGAGATTTAGTGGAGGCGAAGGTACAAAGGAAGAGATGATCCATGTACTGGAGGAGAACAGTGGTCAGGAAAGGCTTCCTAGGCAAGATAATTTCTAACCTCAAACTTGTGAGATATAGGTGTTTGCCAGTTGTATTCCAGGCAAAGGACACTGCCCAGGCAAAGGTCCATCAGCTTCAAACAAGCATGGTAAGATGGGGGAACCGCAGGTAGTTCAAGATAGCTGGATTGTGGTGTGGGCGATGTGATAATGGCAAGAGCCAGTAAACTGAGATCCTCATGGAGGATGCTGTGTTACCATAGTATGAATTTGAACTTCATCTTGTAGGTAACTGTGAAGCCATTAAGACATTGTAGGAAAGAAAGTGATATGGTGAGCTTTTTATTTTTAAAAAAATCTCTAGGACAGCATGTGTTAAAGAGATTGAAGAAGAGAGAATGAAGATAAGGGAAGTGCAGAGATCTTGGCTAGAGATGATGAGCACAGTGGCAGCAGGACTGGGGCTGAGCAGTGGGGAGAGGGGAGAGGGCAGAAGTTAGAGTCCTGGTCATTAGTCCGATGAGGAGTCTGAGTGCAGTGCAGAAGTTAGGATGATCCTTAAACTTCTGGCTTGCATGAAGATACTAATGTAAAATTGAGGGGGGAAATGTAAGTTTGAGATCGTGGTTGTGTGTCTCCTGTTATTTTATTGCAAATATTTGTCTTATGGAGTATCTTCCCTGCGAGATGGTAAGTGCTGTGATTTATGAACCTTGTTTGCTGTTTTACTGCTATAATCCCAGTTTCTGGTTTTTGTGTTTGTTTTTTTCCCCAAGCTTCTAATTTTGTGCCTGCTTATGGAGTTTGGAATTGTTGGATATATTAATACTATGTTTTTTAGTGGGAGAGCCCCTCTTAGTTTTCACTTGTTTATAATTTCATTTTCAAAATTAGAGTCCCTTCTATTTTAACAGAAATACAAGCTTACTGTGGGGAAAAGAGAAAAGGATATTATAGTACAAAAGGGCTTAAAGAAAAAAATGGAATGATAGCTAACATTCTATTCTGTAGTCAGATTGCGCTGTAAGGCTTACAAGAACAGCAGTGAAAGCTGTCCCTTGTTTCGCCCCACTCCATCATGGCCTGGTCCCCTGTCTGCTTTCATTTTTTTGTCTGTTTCTTCTGATATTTATCTCCATATTTCTAAATAACATGTGTATGTTACTTTTTCTTGGTTGTTAATTTCAGAAATTATCCATGGACGTACTGTTACACCGTATGCAAGTTTTAGCTCACCCTCTTACCCTCTTATCATTCACTGAAATGGGGTGGGTCACTGGCTTTTTTTTTGTGAATCCTAACAGAAGGGCATCTTCAGGCCTCTTTTTTTTAGATTCGCATTCTCTAGAAGGATCTACTTGCCTTTCTGAGGGGTAAGCATGACTGCAAGTGTTCTAGAGCTGGTGGGAGAGAGGCACAAGAGTCCTTTGGTATGCAGACTTGAACTTGATCCCTTTATATTCACTTCCTTATTTTACCCCTGCCTTCCTCTGCCCCTTGAGTCCCAAGTCTGGGAATACATTCATCTTGTCTCTGATACAAATAATTGTTAATGTTTTTGAGCACTCGTTATGTGCCAGGCATTGGGGTAGGAATTTTATATATACTGATCTTAATTCTGTCAACAGTCTTCTGCTGGTTAGGTAATATTATTGAGCCCACGTTATAGGAGAGGAAATTGAAGCTCAGAGGGTATATAACTTGCCCAAGATCACACAGCTAAAAGGTGGTAATGTCCAGGCTTCAGCATAAGTCTGACTCTTGAGCCCATGTTCTTAACCACGGAGGTATACAGCCAGCCAAGTTCCTCAGTAGCAACTCCTCTTTATTGTAAAATTTGGGTAAATACTGGTTTTGGGTTTCTCTGTCCCTTCTGTCTCTTTTTTTTTTTATGTTTTAAATTTATTTATTTTTGTCCCTTCTGTTTTTCATTTTTTCCCCTGCCTTCCTGTGGGTTTCTTGAACATTTTTTAAGAATTCCACTTCATCTGCAGTAGTTCCCCTTATCGGTGGTTTCCCTTTTTGTGGTTTCAGTTACCTGTGGTCAACCACAGTTAGGAGCAGATGATTCTGACATGTTGTCAGAAGGGCGGTAGTGGCCTAAGGCTGCATCACGATGCCTTTGTCCCTCCCTCCCTGTGCTTCAGGTCCTCACTTAGGCACTTGATCATTTCACACCATCACAAGAGTGAGTACAGTAAGAGAATTTGAGAGAGACCGCATTCAGACAACTTTGATTACAGTATATTGTTAATTGTTCTGTTTTGTTATCAGTCATTGTTAATCTTTTGCTGTGCCTAACTTATAAATGAAACTTTCTCATAGGTATGTTACGTACGGGAAAACAGTCTGCATGGCATTAGATACTGTTAGTGGCTTCAGGCATCCATTGGGGGGGTCTTAGTAGCCCCCATGGATAAGAGGGAGCTGTATAGTATTTTTGAGGGTATTGGTATAACTTTTCGGTGGTTACTAGGTATTACATTGTGTACACCTAACTATTACTACAGTCTACTGGTGTTGACATTTTACCAGTTCAAGTGAGGTGTAGAAACCGTACTTCCATTTACCCTTCTTTGTATATAATTGCCTTAAATATTTCTTCTATATATGTTGAGACCCACATAAGATGACAGTGTTAACAATTTTTGGTTCATATGTCAAAACTAGAGGGAAAAAATTGATCTTATTTACTTATATTTTTATTCGTTTTCATTGTTCTTTTTCCCTCATGTTCTAAGATTCCTTCTTTTATCATTTCCTTTCCATTTAGAGAACTTCTTTGAATCATCCTTTTAGGGTAGATCTTCTGGCCAAATATCTTGATTTACCTTTTTGTTCCTGAAGGATATTTTTGCTGATAATAGAATTTGGGTTGGCAGCTCTTTTTCTCTCAGCACTTGAGTGTGCCACTTCCTTCCATGCTTTCTGGTGAGAAATCTGCTGTCACATGAATTTTTTGTGTGTTTGCCTGTTTGTTTTGTTTGTTTCCATGGGTAAGATGTCCTTCCTCTCGCTGCTTTAAGGACTTTTTTTTCTTTGTCTTTAGGTTTCAGAGGTTTGTTTCTGTATCTCGGAAGTGGATTTCTTTGAGCTCACCCTGTTTGACGTTTGCTCAGCTTCTTGAATCTGTAGGTTTTATATCTTTTGCCAAGTTTGGGAAAATTTCAGCCATTATTCCTTCAATACTTTGAAGCCCCATTCTTTCTTCTCTTCTAGGAGTCTGATGATGTGGATCTTAGATCTTTTATTATAGTCCCACAAGTCCCTGAGGTTCTGTTCATTTTTTTTAGTCTGTTTTTTCTCTTGTTCAGATTGGATAACTATTATTCTGTTTTCCAGTTCACTGATTCTTTCCTCTTTTTTTCTCCATTGGCTCCTGAACCCATCTGTTGGATTTCTTATTTTAGTTGTTTCATTTCTAAAATTTAGGTCTTCTCTACATCTTTTATTTCTTTGCTGAGACTTTTTTTTTTCTCCATTTATTTCAAGCATGTTCGTAATTGCTTATTGAAACATACTTATGATGACTGCATTAAAATCCTTGTCAGATAATTCTAACATCTGTGTTATCGCACCGTTAGTATCTGTTGATTGTCTTTTCTCATTCAAGTTGAGTTTTTTTGTTCTTGAATAGATAGTCATTTTCAGTTGAAACTTGGGCGTTTTGGGTATCCTAAGACTGTAGGGCTTATTTAAATCTTACGTTTTAACTGGCCTCCTTTGACGCCGTATTAGCAGAGAAGAGAGGGCTCTATCTTGTTAATTGCCAGATGGATTAGAAGTCCAGGCGTCTTACTTGGCTTCATTATGCTAGGTGCGGTTGGAAGTGCAGGCTCCCCACTGGTCTCCTGGTCTGGACCATGCTGGTGGGGAAGGATAGGAGTACCTTGTTGCTGTTCTCCATGTGGCCTCCACTCACACTCAGTGGGAGTCCTCATTACAGGCTGGTGGCTATGGAAATCTGGCTGCCCCCTGAGCTTTCTCTGACACCAGTGCAGTGAGTGGAGAAGGGTACCTTGCTATAACTAGGCAAGGGTGGAGGCCTAGATTCTATTTAGATTTTGTTGACTGGGATGGAGGTGGGGCTGCAATTTTTTTCACGGTGGTTGCTGGAGGAGTCATTATTGCCTAAAAGTTTTCTGTCTCTCTGTGCTGTCCAGTACTGGTCCTTTGGCTATGAAAGCAGGCTCTTCTTGAGGCTTTATTTGTGTGAGTGAGCCCATTGGTGTTACTGGGCTGTTGGCTTCTCCATCACTCAGTCTGGGATATATAAGGCAAAAAAGAAAACCGAAGGAACTTTCTATTGTGTCATTCCTCATATCCTGTAGTCTCTAGCCAATCAGTCTTTGCTCTGCCCTTCGGTCTTTTTTTTTTTAATAAAGATTTTATTTATTTATTTGAGAGAGGTTGAGAGAACACAAGCAGGAACAGCAGCAGAGGCAGGGAGAGAGGGAGAAGCAGACTCCCCACTGAGCAGGGAGCCCGACACGGGGCTCGATCCCAGGACCCCGGGATTGTGACCTGAGCCGAAAGCAGACGCTTCACTGACTGAGCCACCCAGGCGCCCCCCGGAGTCTTTGTGTTTTATGTGTAATGTCCAGGGTGTTTAGCTATACTTAGCAGGAGGAATAAATTCCTTTCTTAGTTATTTTAAATAACAGATACTTATTTTTATTGTTTACGCTGTGATGGTGCTGTTTCTGGGACAACCTCAGAAAGCTCAGAAACTTCCTCACCTCCCACTCCCTAAATACTTGTTACATCAACATTTAAGGGCAAGCCAATGATAGACTCTTTTAAACCGTTTGAGTTTTATTTCCTGGAGCCACTTGTTACTGTTATCTTGAACTATTACGAGCTTTTGTTGCTACATACAAAAATGTCATGAAAATATTCTTATTCATTGTTTAGTTGGGAAAGTTTGTGGTTTTGAGTGTATATATATATATATATATATATATATATAAAAGAAATACTGTTGACTCCTGCTGCTAGGGCAGATGTGTGACTCATAACATTTTTATCCTTAAGAGCAGTACAGTGTACTTAGAATTTGTGCTAAATTACTTTAACTTAGAATATGTGCTAAATTACCCACCTTTTTTTTTCCAGCTGGAGTCGAGATGGTCATAAGCTCGTGAGTGCTTCCACTGATAACATAGTGTCACAGTGGGATGTTCTTTCAGGCGACTGCGACCAGAGGTTTCGGTTCCCTTCACCCATCCTAAAAGTCCAGTACCATCCACGAGATCAGTATGTTTAATCTGTGCTGTTCTTTCCTGGGGCAGGGTCTCATTCTCTGTGGACTAGCTCCAGGCTCATGACAATTGCAGTTTAAGGTTGTGGGAGACAAAAGCACACATCTCTTCAAATCTTCTACATAAAATAATGTTTCTGTCTAGGTTATCTCTACTGAACAGATTTTAAGGAGAGTGTTATTGTATCATATAATTAAAAACTGGGCAGTATTCAGACTTTGGAAGTGGGCAGAGGTAGGAAGAAGAATAATAACTGGTCCTTGACCTGGAGCTTTCCACACCACCACCACCCCCTGCCCCCGGTTATTTGAATTTCTTTAGAGGGAAGTAGTTCAAATATTAAAACTACATTTAAAAAAAATGAAACTACATTTAATAGTACATTTAAGAAAGAGTTACCCACCATTCCATTACCCAGACATAACTGTCTTCATTTCTCTTGGTTCTTTATTAGTCAAGTTCTTTAAGTGTAATGCTTGTTATCTGGTGCTTTATAGCCCACGAAGCAAGTTATATGCATATGACATGTATATCAAATTACGTATTTTTACATAGTTTTAGTTAGCATTTTGCGTTTTTATTGCATACATATTTCTTCTACTAGTTTGCTACTTCTTCGTACTTATTTTTAATGACTACATTTTATTTTGTCAAACTAGGATCCCATGGTTTATATTTAGTTGTTTCCCTATTGTTAGACATTTAGACTTCAGGCTTTTTCACTATTTTAAATTTGCTTGAGCTGGGAGAGTTGATGGAGGTAGTGACAGGAATCAGGGAACAGGGCAGGAGAATCAGCCTTCTGATACCAAAGCAACAGCCAATGTACTGTTCATATTTTTAAACAGGAACAAGGTTCTCGTGTGTCCCATGAAATCTGCTCCTGTCATGTTGACCCTTTCAGATTCCAAGCATGTTGTTCTGCCGGTAGACGATGACTCCGATTTGAACGTGGTTGCATCTTTTGATAGGCGAGGGGAATATATCTATACAGGAAATGCAAAAGGCAAGGTAAGCCTGGAAGCTAGTGAAATAAGCATCAGTCATCCTGTGCATTGGCTTATTTCATGTTTACTTGTTCTGCTTCCCTTGAAATATCTTTTATCCCTGGACTAAGCATGTCTCGTGCCTCTGGCAAATGTGGCCTATTTTTCTCTCATGCCTTCATGATAATTGTTTTCTTTTTTTTTTTTTAAGATTTTATTTATTTATTTGACAGAGAGAGACACAACGAGAGAGGGAACACAAACAGAGGGAATGGGGGAGGGAGAAGCAGGCTCCCCTGTGGAGCAGGGAGCCCAATGCGGGGCATGATCCCAGGACCCTGGGATCATGACCCGAGCCGATGGCAGACACCTAACGACTGAGCCACCCAGGCGCCCTGCCTTCATGATAATTTCTGTTCTTTTGATTTAGAGTGATCAGAGACTACTCAGCCTAGAAAGGGTAGAAGGGCATTTTGCTAATAACGAAGGGCCGTTACTCATTTATAAAGTTTAAAAGTCATAGTATAAAATGGAATACATTTGATAAAAATGTCTTAATACCTAGTTCTGTAAATATTGTATAATTTAAGCCCGCTTAACCTGTAGTTTTGTGGAGTAAGAAGTTAGCTGGGCTTTTAAGGTCCTGTTTTGTTTCTAAAGATTTATTTATTTTAGAGAGAGAGAGAGCGCGCACATGCATGTGTGCGAGTGGAGGGGAGGGGCAGAGGGAGTTGGGGGGGAGAGAAGCAGATTCCCTGCCACTTGATCTCATGACTCTGAGATCACAAACTGAGCCAAAACCAGGAGTCTGATGCTCAACTGACTGAGCTACCCAGCACCCCTTTAATAAAGGTTAGAGTTTGTAGTTCCATTAGGCAACTTGATTTTTTTTTTTTTTTTTTTGGTGATTGGGGTGTATAGGCTAATATAATTTCATGGCTACCTTAGAAAGTGGCCATTTTTGGAAATGGTGGTAAAATACACATAACATAAAATACAACATAACATTTACCATCTTAACCATTCTTAAGTGTACGGTTTTGTGGTATTAAGTACATTCACATTACTGTGTACCCATCACCACCATGTATCTCCAAAGCTTTTTTCATCTTATAAAACTGAAACTCTGTACTTGTTAAGCAGGAACCTCCTAGTCCTTGTTACCTCCCCGGCCCCTGGCAGCCATCACTCTACTTTCTGTATCTGTGAATTTGGCTACCCTAGGTACCTCATGTAAGTGGACTCATACGGCATTTGTCTCCTTGTGACTGGCTTATTTCACTCAGCCTGATGTCCTGAAGATTCCTTCATGCCCAGCATGTGCCCGAATTTCCCTCCTTTCCCTGGTTGAGTACTGTCCCACTGGAGTACCTTCCCCCTTTGTGTTCATCCCTTCGTCTGTTGACGCATCCTTGGGTTGCTTCCACCTTTTGACTGTTGTGAATAACACTAAACATTGTATTTTGAGAATAGATTAAGACGTGGTTCTTTATTTGAAAAATTAGAAGACAGTATCAGTTAATCAGGTTGAATACATGAGCTGTTATATATTTTTTAAAGATTTTATTTATTTATCTATCTGAGAGAAAGAGAGTGAGCACAAGCGGGTGGAGGGGCAGAGGGAGAGGGAGAAGCGGGCTCCCCGTGGAGCAGGGAGCCCGATGCGGGATTCAGTCCTGGGACCCTGGGATCATGACCCGAGCCAAGGGCAGACGCTCAACCGACTGAGCCACCCAGGCGCCCCGAGATGTTTATATTTTTACCCAGTCTCTGCCCAGTTTTAGAAATGGAAGCCAATTCTAATTACTGTAAGTTATCAGAATACTTAATGGTTTTGTTTTTTTTTTTCCTTTGAACTCTAGATTTTGGTCCTAAAAACAGATTCTCAGGATCTTGTTGCTTCCTTCAGAGTAACAACTGGAACAAGCAATACCACAGCTATTAAGTCCATAGAGTTTGCCCGGAAGGGGAGGTGAGACCTTGTCTTTTTAGGGACAGTTTTAAAAGTGAGTAGAATGCAATAATACATTGAGATTCACAGTTTTTGTGTCTATTAAATCTTTAAGAAAGTTTACTTAAAAAATAACTAGAAACTGTCAGTATCTGGTTCTTACATTCATAAAATTTATTGCATTGAACCAGTAGTCACATCTTTTTCTGGAGATGATCAGGCAGAAAAGATATCGGGGTGGTATATGCTTAGAACTAAAATGCCTGCCACATAGTACACTCTGGGTAAAGATCAGCTGTTTTTATAATCCAAAGTCATGTCACAGATTTCACATAGTAATTGGACATACACTCTATTTACATAAAACTATTTACTCTTTTACTTTCAGATGTTTTTCTGATAAGTGTGGTTACCCAACTAGAAGTAGATAGGTCAACAGAAACGAGAAGAATTAGGTTGTCGGTGTCAGGAAGAGAGGTGACAGTCCTTCTGTCTTGTATAGGAGCATGCATGTGTACTTAGAGGACATTCATGTTCAAAATTCTTTTGAATTCAGGAAGGCTTAGTGAAATCTGTAGGAAGGTAATGAAATAACTTACATTTTAGACAGATTTCCAATGTCATTACAGTAAAAGAACATTTTAAAATGACATAGTTTATTAACTCATTAGGAAGAATATGTTATGTATAAGATAGGCCAGAGAAATGAAGTATGCATTGTACGTCTAACTATCAGTTTGTGAATTCAACAAGCTGGTTTCAGTTTAGAGGTCATGGATTTCAATCAAATACTAAAGATTAAAAAAAAAATACTGAAGATCAGTTTGTGCATATAGGGTTCAGGGATACACAGAAAGTATACAACATATCTTCACTTCAAATTCTGTTTTGCTTTGGAAGGTGACTAGTAAGTGCATAAGTGTTCTAGCTTATGTGGAGTAGTTGTTCTATGGCACTGTTCTAAGTAACAGATATTAATAGAAAATGTTAACAGAAACAGATTTCTGACCTCTTGTGTTGATATTTTTATCCTTTCTCTAGTTGCTTTTTAATTAACACAGCAGACCGGATAATCCGAGTTTATGATGGCAGAGAAATCTTAACTTGTGGAAGAGATGGAGAGCCTGAACCCATGCAGAAGTTACAGGACTTGGTAAATAGGTGTGTATCACCACATAGAAGAATATGGGGCATGACCTGAGCTCAGCTTCTGGTTCTCCTTGGGTACTTTCTTTGTCCTTCAGGACCCCGTGGAAGAAATGTTGTTTCTCTGGGGATGGAGAATACATAGTGGCTGGTTCAGCCCGGCAGCATGCCTTGTACATCTGGGAGAAAAGCATTGGCAACCTGGTGAAGATTCTCCACGGGACAAGAGGAGAACTCCTCTTGGATGTAGCTGTGAGTAGAACAAGAGGTTGCTCTTGTTACTGATGTGAAACAGATCATCTTGGATCCATTCTTAGAGCTGATTTTTCTTTCCTTCCTTAAATTTAGTGGCACCCTGTTCGACCCATCATAGCATCCATTTCAAGTGGAGTGGTATCTATCTGGGCACAAAATCAAGTAGTAAGTATTTTTTCTGGTTTAATTGCTTTGAGGCTAGATATCCATTCTTTTATATCAGAGAACCTTACAGGTAGTAAGCAAAAAATGACCTATTTAATTTCTTTTGCATGTGATTCTTGTAACCTAATTAAAATTGATTCAGTTTTGCTTTATTTTGTTGTGAAGGTCTTGGTCCAAAGCTGATTTACTACCTCTGTCTTCAGGGAGAAAGTCTGGTGTACTTTCTGTTACATTTTTCTGTTACCTGAGAGAGTTTTCTTTTGCTTTTCTTATTTTCAGCTCAATTAGTTTCTGTTTTATATCTTGGTTTTATTTTAAACAACTTTAATCATGTTTGTAATCAGTGTACTCCTAAGAAAATGCAGTGTTTTACCTGATAATTATATCTTTAAAAGATTAAAGATGGCAGTTCTCATGAGAGAACTGTAGTTAATAACTTGGAATGTTTAAGATCTAAATACCTTAAGACAGTAAAACCTATAGATACCTAATTTTTTTATCTGCCAGATTTGTTCTCAGAGTTCTGAGTCTCGTATGTGCTCCGATCTTCCATTTCTATCAGTAATGTCAAGCTCACAGACCGTTGCTTTCTCATACGGTTAAGTGTAGTGTATTTTGTTTGCGGCATAGGAAAATTGGAGCGCATTTGCCCCAGACTTCAAGGAGTTGGATGAAAACGTAGAATATGAGGAAAGGGAATCAGAGTTTGATATTGAAGATGAAGATAAGAGTGAGCCTGAGCAGACAGGTAATATTTCTCGACTGCAGTCTCTTTTTCTTTACACTTGCACAGTTTTGACGGTGTTCTGAGAGTCTCTGTGTGGAACGCACCAACTGAGGGCCTCTGTGAGCATTTTTACTAGGGTTTAACAGCTCTCTTACTATTTCACTGTTTCCTGATGAATTGCTGATGATCACCTGATCACCTGCACATGCTGGGTGCTCAGTCTATATTAGGTATTGTCACCCCCATGGCAGGAAGATGAAGGTAAACAGCATGAGCTCTGGAGTCCACCTGCCTGGGGCAAAATGCTTATTACTCTTTAAACCTGAATTTCCTCATCTGTAAAATAGTGGTAATAATAGAACCTGCCTTTTAGGGTTGCGGGGAGTAATTCGTGTAAGGGACCCAGTGTAGCGCCTAGGCCAAGGTAAGCATTCAGATGTTACTCGATTAGGATTGTGATAGTGCTCATTGTTTGTTTGCTTTTTAAGTAAATTCTGTGCCTAACATGGGGCTTGAACTCACAGCGCCAAGATCAAGAGTTGCCTACTGTACTGACTGACCCAGCCAGGCGCCCCTCATTGTTATTGTTATTCTTGTTTTCTGAACTAGATAGGAAGCTCCTTTAGAATAAAGATTTGACTTTCTAATCCCCATGGTTGTCTAACACAGGGCTTTATATCTAATGGGGGGGGGTTCGTGTGTATGAATGCTTAGTATTCCCGGTTGTAAGTTAATTACTCACTAAGTAATTAATGTCACAGGTCATTGCCTGCTGGACCACTTGATGGTGCCAGGAATCAGGGAATTGGGACTGAGGTTGGTTCTTCCATCTTGGAAGTGCTGGTCCTCATTTGTGTGATATTATTATTATTTTTTTTAAAGATTTTATTTATTTATTCATGAGAGACAGAGGGAGAGAGAGGGAGAGAGAGAGAGAAGCAGAGGGAGAAGCAGGCTCCCAAGGAGCAGGGAGGCCGATGCGGGACTTGATCCCAGGACTCTGGGATCATGACCTGAACCGAAGGCAGACGCTTAACCATCTGAGCCACCCAGGCGCCCCATTTGTGTGATATTAGATCACATATATGCCCCCGTGTTTTAGGAAGATCACCAAGGAGGCGGCCTGTTTTGTATTCTATTGATGTTGCTGGACTATGTAGTGTGAAGCCTTTCCAAACTCAGATAACTTGTTCCTCCTTCTCATATTCGTAGCACATCACAATTACTATATTGAATGGAAATTATCGGGCGCCTGAGTGGCTCAGTTGGTTGAGCAACTGCCTTCGGCTCAGGTCATGATCCTGGAGTCCTGGGATCGAGTCCCACATCGGGCTCCCTGCTCAGTGGGGAGTCTGCTTCTCCCTCGGACCCTCCCCTCTCTCATGCTCTCTCTCTCTCTCGCTCTCAAATAAATTAAAAAAATTTTTTTGAATGGAAATTATCTGTTGATACCTGTCTCCCTGGTTAGGCTGTGAAGTTTTTACTGAAGAACTGTGTGCGGCTTTCTTGGTCATCACTGTATCCCCAGTGCCCAGGATAGGGTGGAGATTCAGCACCTCCTTTTGAATTACTGAGTAAAATGAATGGTTTGGCTGTCCTCCTTTGTTTCTCCTGAATTTAGTTTATGGAAATCATTAAGCTGCAAGGAAAAACTTCTTACACCTGTGCCGTTTCTCTTCTGCAGGGGCTGATGCTGCCGAGGATGAGGAAGTGGATGTTACCAGCGTGGACCCAATTGCTGCCTTCTGTAGCAGGTGAGCCACCTCTGCGGGCGAGGCCGCGGGGCGCTCCTCCCCCTCCTCCTCAGGCTCTGGTGTACGCTCACCTCCCCCGGCTGTCCTACGTTTGTTAGTTCAAAGTGATAACTCCTTTGGTGTACGAGAAATCCCTTCCCTTTTCCCCTGATAGAAAATCTTAAGAAAAACTGAGATAATTCATTTATACCATTTGTTTTTACTACTGATTTTGTTATTCATATTGTCCGATTTTCTTTTACTCATCTTGGCTTTCTTAAAGTTCTAGATCCATACCTGTTGCTTATGGTTAATATAGGTGATTCTGCCCTAGAGGAAGGGTTCATGGTTTAAGCAACTGTCTCCTCTTTTTTCCAATCCCTTGCCTGATCCTGTTCCAAATAGTGATGAAGAGCTGGAAGATTCAAAGGCTCTATTGTATTTACCCATTGCCCCTGAGGTAGAAGATCCAGAAGAAAATCCTTATGGCCCCCCACCGGATGCGGTCCAAACCTCCCTGATGGATGAAGGGGCTAGTTCAGAGAAGAAGAGGCAGTCTTCAGCAGATGGGTCCCAGCCACCGAAGAAGAAACCCAAAACAACCAATATAGAACTTCAAGGAGTACCTAATGATGGTAAGGGCTGCGTGTTCTCCCTATTGCCTGATAGACATCACTTCTTACTCTCTGACACAGTCTGGTAACTTCCCATTTGAGTGATTTTATCTTGGAGGAAATTTCCCATGAGTCTTTTTTTTTAATAACTCCTTATGACTTTGTAACGATTTCATCTGCTTTCACTTCCCTTTTAAAGTGGAGAAATTGTGCCTTCTAGTACTTGCCTAAATGACAACGTGCCGTCTTCCGACCTCTGGTTCAGAGTTTGTTTCATTATACCATTCTTTTTTTCATGTAGAGTGGTTTTATTAGGTGGTAAAGTACTGGTCAGACCTGGATAATCTTTTCATTCTTCCTCCCTGCTTTTAGTCTGACTGGGCAGCCTTTATTCTCATCTCTTAGGATAGGTTGGGGGTGTATGTGTGTGTGTTTCCTGTTGACCATCATCCTCTGTCTTTTAGCTGACCGCAGTCAGTTCATGATGCAGCTCTGTGTCTCCGTGATGCTGCTGATGGTGCGCCTGCTTGTTTCAGGCACTGTTTGTGTTTCTGTGTCACTGCTGAGTTTTACATCAACTCTGCAAGTTGTTTTTATTCTCTCTGCTTTACAAAGGAGAAAATTTAGGCTTGGAGAGCTCAGGCGGCTTGTCCAAGGTCTCAGGGAGTGGAGGAGTCAGGACTGTCACCCCGGTTGGCCTGGATCCAAAGCCCCACTCCCTTTCTCTCCTCACTTGCCAGTGTGCTTGTGTGTGTTCCTGGGCCGGCTCATTGTGCTCTGTTGTCACTGTCTCTCAGCTGCCTTTTTGGTTTGGAGCTGTTGTATGAGCCATGGAGGCCTTGCATGCCCGTGGGCCAAGCAGCGATTTCTCCTGCAATAGCCACTCTTTTATAGTTTTATAATTAGTAAGTGCACACTTCTCTCCTGGTATTAAGGGGTCTGGGACATGAGGGCGGCACTCCTTGCTCCCGGGTAGTCATGGTGTGTGGCCTGTGCCTGGTCGGGGCGCTGGGATGGGCGGCTTGTGGATCCCTTCCCGTGCCTCTCTGTCCTTTTACAGAAGTCCATCCACTACTGGGTGTGAAGGGGGATGGCAAATCCAAGAAGAAGCAAGCAGGCCGGCCTAAAGGATCAAAAGGTAAAGAGAAAGATTCTCCATTTAAACCGAAACTCTACAAAGGGGACAGAGGTTTACCTCTGGAAGGATCAGCGAAGGGTAAAGTGCAGGCGGAGCTCAGCCAGCCATTGGCAGGTAAGGACACACTGGGAGCGCTGTCTGGCTTGCTTCATGGCCTTGCTTTGTACAGCCCCTGACTCCGTTTAACTGCAGCACCCTTTCCTTCCTTCCCTCCTTTTCCCGCTGGTGGACTTTCGCAGAGTGTTAGGCTGCCACCAAGGGTAGGCTAAACCAGATTTGGCTTAATTCAGTGGCTCTTAACCTTGGGTCCATCAGTAGATTTCAGGGGATCTGTATTCCCCTGATATTATATACAAAATACTGTGTGAATATTTTTGTGGGGAAGATATGCCCATAGCTTTCATCAGATTCCTGTAGGAATCCATGGCCCCCCAGAAGGGTAAGAACCCCTGGTTTAATTCATTTCTTTGCCTGTATTTGCTTCTAGATTTTTTGTTTTTGTTTTGCCTCAAATGAAAGAGCCAGACAGATTACCAGAAATAGAAGTTTGCTTTATACAACCCTGTCTGTAGTGTTTTGTCTTTCTTTAAACTATTCAAATCCCAGAGGTGGTGGTTCTCTCTCTCCGTAGTCTAGAAGCAATAACAAAAAACTTGTCAGTAGTACCATCATGTTAAGGAAGAAGGTGAAATGTTTTTCCATATAGGAGATTATTACCAAAAAGACAGCAATTACAGTATCCGTGTAGCTTCTTAACACCTACACCTTTGAAACTTCCTGAGTTTTGTCACTTTTATATGACGGAGGGAGTTTATTGGGGGACGGAGAACAATTTGAATTTGCTATCAAGTACTTGTGAATGTAGGCTAGATGGTCTCTTGTTTGGAAAACAGTAATCAAATGGAGTCCATTTCTATTCACACATTTTCGGCTTTTGGAAAATGTTCTGTATAAGAGCACTACTTTAGTGAATACAGTGCTCTGAATTTCCTGTGGCTAGCTCAGTAGACTCAGAGATAGGACTGAGAAAATACCAGTGGTTGTATTCAGGTTTTCTTCCTCTTGCTTTAAAATTTTCAACCTCAGGGTATGACCTCCAGGGTGCTGATGAGACGTGACTAGACGGTGAAACTGAGTTCCTTGTTTGAGGTACACCTGCAGTTAATTGTGTGAACAGGAGTTCTCTTCTGTTGGGAAGCTAAAGCCGACTCAGTTACTCATTTTGAGTAATTCCACCTCACATACGCTGGATTTAGATTTTCGGTGTTCACAGCAAACACATGACACTTGAGCCACCAACATTTTTTCCTTAACAGCAGTACTTATGGTGTTCCACGGAATACCAGTTCTCACCTCCATGTTCAGTCCACTTAAGGCTCTCTATATATTTTAGAATAGCTGAGAAGAGTTACATGGCCATTGCCAACAAAGATTGCAGGTCAGTAATTGATTGATGTAAAAAAAAAAAAAGATCCCTCTATAACCTATTTTTTGTACAAGCTGATGCCACTGCAGAAAAACACAGTTTAAATTTCAGTAGATTCCTCTGACTTAAAAAGCTGAAATGCTTCAGGGTGATTTAAAATGTGGCCAGAGGGATGCCTAGGTGGCTCAGTCAGTTAAGTGTCCAACTCTTGATCTCAGCTCAGGTCTTGATCTCAGGTTCGTGAGCTCAAGCCCTACATTGGGCTCCACCCTGGGCATGAGGCCTACTTAAAATAAAATAAATTAAAGATAAGTAAATAAATAAAATGTGGCCAGACATACTGAATTGAAATACCGTAGGACATAGTCTCCTAGCTTCTTCAAAACCTGCCAGTAATTAATCATTCGCTTTTTAACAGTATGTGTATGGCATATAAACCATTTAAAAGTTTTAGAAAATTCACATTTTCCTCTCTTTAATACAGTGCTTTCAGCTTTTAATTATAATTGATGCGGTCACTAGCAGTAAGTAAGTATCTCTGGCCTTCCCCACTTGGTTTTCTGTCAGACACCATGAGCCGCTGTTAGATTTTAAGCTCAAGAGTATAAGAGCAGTGGTGTTTCCCAGCTATACTTCAAAAATGTCTAAATGAGAGTCAAAATCAAATGTCGGAAAGTTTACTCAGCCATTTTTATTTTCTAAAATTCTCAAGATACTGAACTAGCTCGCAGTGAAATTTTGAACTATATGTGAAATAGATACTTCAATATTAGAAGTCGGTGTTTCAAAGCTCCTAGCAAGAGTGCATACCAGGATCTAGGGCCTATTAGAAGTGTATTCCTGCTCACTTTGCTGACGAGATTAAATGAGGTTCTGACCTCAGTAAAGGCTAGAACCTATATCCTGAGCAGGTGCTGTAAACTGGACTTTCACTTTGTGCGTTATTTTTATTGGGTGCTTGAGTTGATCAGCCTTAGAGAGAGGCAGCTGTTTTAACAGCTTCACCCTCCAAAGGGACTGGAGGAGACTTCCGCATGCAGGCCAGGGCGCTGGTACCTTTTCTGACGACACACACGCAGAGCGACTACATAGATGATGCAAACATCCCACCAGCTTCTCAGGACTGTGTGCAGTGCATCCTTCCCCGTCTAAACTACACTTCTTCCTCCCATTTTCTCCTTGCTCCTCTGGCCCTGTTCCTTGACCTTTTCCTGAATGGACACCTCCAAAACTGCAGTGGCCGGATTAAACCAGAGTGCTGAGGAGCAGGATCTTTAAAAAAACCTCAAAGCGGGGGCATTGTGGTTTGCTTCCGCGACTTTCTCAGAAGGGCTGCACCCTGTGTCGTGCTGCAGCTGCAGTGTGGTCTGGAGTTTTGTGGAGGCTGCACGTCACAGGCGGTGAAACTGGGTGTCTTATAACTTTGTCAGACGTCTGAGTTTCGGGACAACCTAGCATATCTTTTGTGTGGGATTCTTGGGGCAAAGGCCATGGTCGACCTGCAGGGTCCAGAGCGGGCAAAGGTTGGCTGGCACATGCTGCTGATTTTCACTTGGTTCTCTTGCCACGCCTCCCTGCAAAGGCCACTGAGGTAAAAAAAAACCTCTTTGGCAGTTGAGTTCTGTATCCTTCTGCACCTCAGAGATTTTCCGTGAAAAGTGGTATGCGGTCATTGTAGATTTTCCGAGAGATACTAAGAAACGAAACTTGATCCAGAATGCCTGAGGTTGAAGCGTCTTCAAGAATCAATTCTGTTCGGAGATTGTACTTGCAGATTCAAGGCTTTGTGGATCTCGCCTCTGCCCCAGTGCCTTACTTTTCCATTAGAGCTAAATTGTTGTTGTTCTTTTTAAAGATTTTATTTATTTATTTGGCAGAGACACAGCGAGAGAGGGAACACAAGCAGGGGGAGTGGGAGAGGGAGAAGCAGGCTTCCTGCGGAGTAGGGAGCCTGATGTGGGGCTTGATCCCAGGACCCTGGGATCATGACCTGAGCTGAAGGCAGCCGCTTAATGCCTGAGCCACGCAGGCGCCTCTAGAGCTAAATTGTTTGAAGGGATTATAGGCACAGGCTGTGTTGTTGCTCAGCCTAGATAAATGGCAACTGTTTGTTAAAATCTGCAGTTGACCAGTTATGGAAGGAGCTATTGCATAAGCCTTCACCGGCCCTGACAAAGCTGCTACGGTCTGTCGGACGTTGCTGCAGGAGATTATGCAGGAAGATTGGAAGACACCTAGACTGCTATAGAAATAATCTGGCCATTTGGAATCTGGGGCTACAGAAAATTCTTCCCTATCAAACAGCTCACTGGTCTTAGCTAGCATCAGTGGACCCACACCCATGAAGACACACCTTGTCTGATGAATGAGGACCCATCAGTGGAAGCTTACTTAGTGAGGGTAGCCCTGAGCTTGGGACTTTTCGGAAAGGCCAGATCAACATCAGCACTGTCTATGTGATTCCCCTAAATTTCCTTATTAGATTCTCTCCAGAGTACAGTTCTCAGAACAGAAACTTGACATTGAGCAGAACCACCAGGGTCCTTGTTGCCTGTGAGGGCTCAAGGATTGCCCAAGAACTAGGGCTTCTTGGCAGTAAATGTCATCAGTAGTGAGTGTGACAGAGTTGTGGCCCATCACATACATGGTCTAAAGGCCTCTTGGAAAGGTGGGCATGAAGTGGTTGGTATATACCTGGGTCTCTTGGGGTGGCAAAGGCCAAAGTGAGCAGAGGTGCTGCTTCTGGGGGCGCATGGACATGCGGATTTCCCTGCGTGTGGCCGTGCCACCGCCATCCTGCTGCTGGCCACCACCCCAGGCCTCTGAGCCACCTCCTCAATCCGATTGTTTTGAGTGCTTGGTAGGGAGTGAGGGTTTTTTCCCCACCTCTTCTCTCTTTTTTTTTTAAATGGTCAGTCTTTCAAAGACTAATTCATGAACTACTAAAATCAGATAGCTAGTAGATAATTCTTTTTCATTCTTTGTGATCTTACTAGCGGACTAAAGTAATATCTGAGAGTTCATATCCAGCGTTTTCTTAGGCCACCTTGGCTTTGGCTGCCGTCGGGAGGACCAGTAACAGCTCATCATGAGTCCAGTTTTTCTTAATTTAATTGTTACTGGCGATTTCCTTTATGTTGCAGCAAAATACTATGGATCCTTGGGGCAGAATTTTAAATAGCCTGGAGCTCTTCTCTTGTGTTGCTGTTGCTCTGTATTTTATCTACTCATAGTAGTATTGCTGGCTGTGGTTTTGGTTTGTTACCTGATGCCCCAGCAAGCCTTTATTTATTTACTTATTTTGGTCTATCCACGTGAATGAGGACTATACAGAAACATTAACTGACCTCAGATAATCAGTATAATGTACCTCATTAGTCATCTTGAGTGCTCATTATTAATACTATTGATTTGTGATCAAACCAGCTTTTCCTCTTGTGATTTAGGCTTAAAATGTTAGTGGTGTGTTCATTTTTAAATGGCTAAGAGAAGATTGGTCAGGGTACCTGTGGGAACACTCAGTCAGATTGGCCTTAATGCGGTAAAGGCGTGGTGTTGCGCCCTGTGGAGTAGATTCCCCCACTGCAAGGATTTTTTTAAAAAATCAAGAAGTTGGTATGTTTTGAAAAACAAGTGCTAAAGAAACTTCTTCTCTTACTGAAATATATAAAGTTTAAATTTGATTTTTAACAATGTAGCATCCAGAAGAGTTTATATCTCCTAATTTCTCATCTGTCCTCAGAGAAATGGGAATATATTTTTATTGCCTGTTTTCATCTGTGCTTGAACTTTTACTTTAAAAATCAGGTTAAAAGCAAAGTTTATAAATGGATACTTTTCTTTCATAACTGGGACAATTATTTTTTAACCATTTTATACCTTCAAGTGGCATGTTTCCCCCACCCCCCACCCCAATTCCAGATGATATCTGGGAGGATTTTCTTCACCTTGTTCTCTTCTTACACTTCCTAGTTAATATTTCACAGCAGCCCATTTAAGGATGTCCCTCAGAGGTTGAACAGCTTCTATGGAATAACCAGGGAAGTGTTCATTTGATTTTACTATTGAGGATTTTATTTATTGATCAGTTGTTGGCGCATAGAAATGCCGGCAGTAGGTTTCATTAACATTTCACCATATTGGGATTCTAAGGTGAGGAGAATGTCAGTTAAGGCCCAGGGGTGCTTGGAAAAGGGTCTGTTGCTCATTGTTAATTATTTAGTGACTCATTAATATATGAAAGATGAAGAGAAGTAGCACCCTAGAATTTCCTTTCCTCTACTTACTGCACTCCTTGGATTATAAAGCATTTATCAACATGTTGGAGAATGGTTAGCAGCTTAGAAAACGTGTGGAACTCTGACCATTTTGCCTTTTTTTCCCCCTTTGGGGCAGTACTAAGGGAAGTAGTAGGATGGGAGTTTGGGATTTGGATTATTTGTTGCTTCAGTAAAGAGCAAATGGGAGTTGCGTTGGTTTTAACTTAAAGAGGGAATTCTTAGCCCATGTGTGCGTGTCCGGCGTCATCCAGCATCTGTCAGTATTTCTGTTCTTGCACGCTGCTGGTCCAAGTTGATGCTAAAAGACGTCTTTTTTGTGTCTCATCTCTTTAGCAGGGGGAGCAATCTCAGAACTGTTATGAAGACGCTTGAAGTTCTTTGTTCTTCCCCACTTTGCCATCATGTGGCGTCTGGACACTGTGGTCAGTCATTTGAGATTGACTTTAATTTAAAACAAAGGCCTCTGCCTCCAACCCAGGAGGGTGGAAGGAGTGAATCATATATTTGAATGAAGAAGTGAATTATGGAAGAAGAGTACACAGCCCTTCCCTTTCAAGCATAAGTCCAAATAGGCTCTCAGGAACGAGGATTTGTGACGACATCAAACAGGAGTTTTGACTCATTCAGACTTCAATGCTTAGTTATGTTGCTGGAGAAAAGAGACCAGTTTTGCTCATCTAACTATTGTGCCCAGGATCATTTTGACCTGACATTTCCTATCCTATTTGCCTTCCATCCTCCGTGCATGTCCTCGAGTGACTTATTCTCATCTGAAGTTTTGCTGCCGGTATCCTAGAAAAACCTCTGTTGCATATTCTGTCTTCCATTTTTAAACTTAACTCTCTCACCAGATACCTCCTGTATTTCCCTATTGTGTACAGAGGATGGGCAGAAAAGAAAGTGCTCGAAAGCTTTCAAGTTTTCAGAAACGGAAGAAAGATAAGAAAGGCCCCCTCTTCTTAACATACCCCATTTTGCTCAAGAAGCTGGGCTGTAAGAGGGTCAAGGTTTTTCTTTGTTTTCCTTTCATTGCATGTTTTCCTCCAGTAGTGGTTCTTTCTCATTAATCATGGTTTTTGAAGATAGCTAGTTTTATCCATCTGCAGCAAAGAATCATCAGTAGGTCATATTGCTTCACCTGTGCTGGCGTCCAGAGAGGGAAACAAACCAAGGGGTCTCTCCATGAGCTTCTTTTTTATTGGGGTGGGGGAATCTATGCAAGGACTAAAGTCAAACCGTCCACAATCAAAGCAGCAACAACACAGTTCAAATCAAAGATCAAGGAAAAAAAAATTTTTTTATCGCGTGTGGATCTCTGTCCCTTCCCTTCTGTCGTGACATTTTCCCCTTCTTGTATCCCCGCTTCTCCGTACGACATGTTTTCAGTCTCTTCCTTTCTGTGAAAGGTTGCTTAGCTTTTTAAAAAATTTTTTTACTTCCTGCTTCTTGATTTTGCTGTTCTTTATATACAAAGTAGCAGATAGGATGGATGTGTACATGAGGTGTTTGAAATTCTCTGAACCCAGAGTCCCAGGTGCGGAGAGGACTCTCTGCAGAGAGCTTTTAGCTGACCTGGGCTGTCTTCGGTGCGGCATCCTCCGGGGAGAGTCCCACCAACAGCTGGGTGCTCCTGTGGGCAGCCCCACACGAGTGGGTTACCTTTGGGATTTTAGGATAGCAATCAAAGTAGACTTACATCAGGAAGAAACTCTTTATCCTCCATCTTTTAGAACCAAAATATTCAGTAGTTGAAGTAAGAGCTCCCCCTGAGTCAGTTGTGAAATGCCTATTTTTAGCCGCCACGGCTTTTTTCCTTAAATGCTCATTTTGTGAATTTCGTTTCTGATTTCACATCCTACCAGTGGTTGAGATTGGCAGGTGGCTCACTGGATGGGTTTTTTGTTTTGCACACATTGTTTCCATTCCATTTCTCTGTGGATGTGCACTGGATCTCGATCTTGCACAAACTGTGATACAGAAGGTCTCTGCCCTACTTACAGGGGCAGAGTAGCTCGGTGTCCTCTGCCTGTGTGTTGGGATGTTTCTGCCATGTCCGGACACTTCCTTGACTGGCTCCTGAGAAGATCGGCTTCAGCCCTGCCAGATGGTGTCTGGCAGCACTTCCTAATAATTATTTATGCTTTGGGAATTTTTTTCAGCTCCTGAAACTTTCTATCCAGTTTTATTGTTTTCTCAATATGTACAATATATGCGTATTCTCTTCTCTTTTGTCATTCCTCCCCGCCCATCCGCCCCATCCCGCCATTTCGTTTTTTAATGTTCCATAGTTTTGTACAAGACGAGACTTAGCCTTGGGTTACTTCTTGCTGAAGCTTTAATGCTTTGTAAATAAAATTGGATGTTTATTAAAGAACAGGTGTGGATGTTGGTTTGTGGACACTGCTTCTGAAACTCACTAGCCCCTTTGATTTGTAGGACAGGAAATGCAGTTTACTGTACTGATGTTAGATCTTTCTGTGCAGAGATGCAGACCTGGGAGGAGTAGGGGGTGCTCGGGGAGTCCAGAGTTCTGCCTCTGGACAAGATTATAAATGAATGATTCAAGCAAAGAGTTGGTGTTATACCACAAAGATCATCTAGGAATGATCTCTCTCCAGATTCTTTAACTCCGTAAGTGTGTGTAAGTACTCGGCAGAGGCCACGGTGCTGGGGATATTCTGGATATTACAAAAACACATGCGAGGGCATTCCTGCCTTCCAAGGATCTTTCTTAAAATGTAAGTACTGTTAAATTCCTCTTTATTTGACTTTTTTTTTTCCCCTTAGATTAAATTGCTTTCAAACTCATAAAGTCTGTTTAAGTCTTTGGTTTTAATCATTGTCAAATCTGAGTGTCTGCCGCTCATTTTTGTTTTGTTTTGTTTTGTTCTGGGACTAAGAATCCGTCTTTGACGTCATAGCTGTTTCATAGCAACCTTGACCCAAGTGAATGACGAGCTCCTCTGTTCTGTGGAGGTAAGGGAGTAGGCCGAGAGGTGGGCAGGATTATGTATCCCCCTCCCCAAAAAAATACCTTCAGTGCCCTTGGGAGGGAAGAGTGTCTAGAATGGGGAGAGGGGCTGTATTGGGTATCACCCCTCTTGTGGATAAACATTCGGTTTCTAAAAGGGCAGCTCGGTCCTTGTCTTCATGAATTTTTCATTTCTATTTAAAATTCCTTACCCATGAACAGTGTTTCACACTTTACAAAGTGTTTTCATGTACAGATTATCATTTATTGCCCAAAGTGACCCTCCTGAAGTAGGCCAGGCGGTCTTAATTTACAAAGGAGGAAATAGAAATAGAAATTCAGGAAGGAATGCTCACTTGGCTTCCAGTCCAGAGTTCTTAATCCTTTTTTACAGAAGGGTTTAGGAGCCTTTGAAGTCAATAACTTAATGCAAGGTAATCCTCTTTTATTTATTTATTTTTTTAGACCTGGTATTTGATTTCTTGGTCAGATTTAACTGGGTTTTTGAAGCCCTTTAATTTGGATCCTACAGTTTGGAGAGGGGTGGCAGGGGTGCGGAAGAGTAGCTTTGCTATGCATTTGAAGTAATTTGGACGTTGACTTCAGAAGCTGAAATCTCTTCTTTGTCTTCCCAAGAGGGTGGATTTAAGTTCATTACAAGGGCGTGGACAGAATGGGGACTGGTGAGGTGGTCACTGACAAGCAAGAGCTAGTAAAGCAGCCACGTGATGACTTTTTCCCTGCCTGTGGGGACTGGATTTGTTCATAAGGACTGGATTTGTGTTGATCGAGTTGCAGTGTTTCATTGACAACAGGTGCATCCTGTCTTTTGACGCTGAAGGAGAACTTGTGTCAAGGGAATGAAGTGAAGCTATAGAGGATTCACCTGGGACACCTCGGGTGCTGGCTGACGGAGGTGAGACATGAGGACCTCGGCCACTGGTTTCCTCCTCGGGAGCCTGGTGTTGGCCTTTTGTCTGCCTTTGGTGGTGACTTTACCAAAAACACTGGCCATCCCAAAGAAACTGCAGCAAGCCGTGGGGAGGGTTATTGTCAATGCCACCAGCTGCACGGTCACCTGTGGCCTTGGCTATAAGGAAGAGACCGTCTGCGAGGTGGGCCCTGATGGCGTGAGAAGGAAGTGTATGTCTCAGCGCTTGGAATGTCTGACCAACTGGATCTGTGGGATGCTCCATTTCACCATTCTCATAGGCAAGGAATTCGAGCTGAGCTGCCTGAGTTCAGACATCCTGGAGGTGGGGAAGGAAGCTTTCCGGTTCACCTGGCGACTTGCTCGCGGTATCATCTCAACTGATGATGAAATCTTCAAACCCTTCCGGGCCAGCTCGCACTTCGTGAGGTTTGAATCTATTCAGGAGTATGACTCTGGGACATACCGGTGTGATGTGCAGCTGTTAAGAAACTTGAGGTTTGTCAAGAGGCTCTATTTTGGGCTTCGGGTCCTTCCCCCTAACTTGGTGAACCTGAATTTCCATCAGTCTCTTACTGAGCATCAGAAGTTAGTCGATAAGGGCCTGGAAGTGAATCTGGACAACGGTTCTAAGCCTCATGGCCTACCGTGGAAAAAGAAGGTGGCTGTAGCTTTGGGAATAGGGATTACCAGTGGAATGGCTGGTGGTGTGTTGGTGATCGTTGCCCTGGGCAGTGGGCTGAGGCTGATCTACAGCAGTGCCGGCCTTGAGTCCTTCAGAGCCTCCCTCCGGAAAGGCTGGCTGCCCAGGAACCTGGACCTGTTCAGGAAGCCAGGCTTGCTTTTTAAAGGAGTATCTGGTGGTCTGATTGTGGCCTGGCTAGGAGGGAGGGCTTCCACCGCCAAAGGAGTGAGTGGGGCACATGGAAAGGGGTAGTAACATCATGGTAGCACAATGGGCAATACTCCAGATGGATCTCTTCCTGATCTTCCTGCCACTAGGCCCCCAGAAAGCCTAACCGTAGGCACTGCTGCTGCTCCTGGGAAGTTCTGGCTTCTGGGTTTGCATTCACTATCTCTTACAACTTGATGCCTCTCCACCTCTGTCCCTTCTGAGCATATAATCACATAGAAGGACATGTTAATAGCTTTTCTAGTGGAAACCTTTTTTTCCTCTTCAATAAAAATCATTCATAGTAGCTGTGTGGAGACTAACCTTCTCTACTCTTTAGTTAAAAATCTCTTGCATCTGTTTAAATTGTCCCATAATCTGTCTAGCTTTCCTTTTCCTCCGATTTCTTAGAACAGACATTGCACACATTGCTTTGTAGGAGGGCATATGCCCTCGTGTGGCGGAGCCAAGGCTGTTAGAAATGACATCTGACCTGGGTATGTTAACAGTCACTAAATGTTAATAAGTTGTCTGCCCCTTCTGTACTCCCTGGGCGAACCCTCTGTGTGCGGTGTTAAATTGATTCCTGGCGGAACACTGGATTCTTCACGTCTGGTAGGTTTCCCCTGAACAGTTCCTTGACTTGCTCCCTGCTCCTATCCTCCTTTGCTCTTCCATTGCCCTGAAGCGTGTGTTCCTGGAGAAATCAAGTGTATTAGTTTCTTAGAGCAGCCAAGGCTGCCCAAGGAGGGACTAAGACCTTCCTACCTCCATAGGAAATCAATCCTAAGACCCTCAGAGGCCATTCAGACTGTGTGAGATGATAATTGGCTTGTGGGATTGTCAGGGAAAAGGCTCTTGGCCACCAGCTGAATAATTCTGAGAGAATTTGGAGCATTTCTTCCCCTTACTTTTCTCCAGCTGCAGACGTGGGGTAGATGTGAAGACTTGGACTAGTGGTTCTCTTCTCTAGCTGTGTGAATGAGCTTTTGAAGAATGAGATTCCTGAGCCCCACCCCCGAGGATGCTAATAAATCAGTTTAAATTATGGCTAATGGCTCTCTATTATTCTACTGTTAAAAATAATTTCAGGGGCACTCGGCTGGCTCAGTTGGAGTGTGTGACTCTTGATCTCGGGGTTGAGTTCAACCCCCCCATGTTAGGCGTAGAACTTAATTAAAAAAACAGTTAAAATAATTTCAACCCCATAGAAAAGTGGGAAGAAAAATTTGATGACAACCCATAGATCCTCTACTTAGATTCACCAGTTGTGAATGTTTTTCTACGTTTATCTTTCTCTCTAAAGAGATGCTGATTTTACTGAACCACTTGTGAGTTAGTCACAGACTTTGTGACCCTTTACTCCAAAATCATGTACGCATCTGCTAATAAAGACGTTCTCCTGTAGGACTACAGTATCGTCGTCCCACCTCAGAAAATTAACAATTCCCTAATCTTACGTATGGTTGAGGTCATCTTCCTGGCTTCTAAAATCTTAAGAGCCTTTTAGTTGTTGGTCCAGGATCAAGTGAAGCCTCACATAATACATTTGGTTGTTCCTCTTAAGTCTTATTTTACAACAGACCTGCATTTTTGTTGTTCATGACACCGATTTTATCCAAGAGTCGAGCTGGTTGTCTTGGATAGTGACGCACCATCCAGGTTTGTCATGATTGTCCCCCGATTAGATTCCTGAGGAACAGATCTTCCACAGTTTTGACCACTGCCCTCCCACAAACGGTGTGTGTGCCTTGTATCACCTCAGGCACACGGTGTCAGGGCGACTCACAGCTGACAGGTGTGGTGATTTGGTTAAGGTGCTGACTGCCGGGTCTCTTCAAAGGTATATATTTTTTCCTCTTGTAATTAGTAATTTGTTGGGGGGGATATTTTGTGATATTCCTAATAATCATTAACGCCTTAGAATCCATTCATGATCCTTGCCTGTTGCCTGCCAGGAACTGTAGAATGGCAACGCTAACATGCCCTTGGCTGTATTCCTTAGCCTGCATTTTTCTGTAAAGAACAGCTGCTCTTTTTATTTTTGAGGATGCTCCATGGATTCTCTTTTTCAGTGAATTACATATAATCCATGACTGTTGTCCTATTTTTGATGTTTAAGTTGTCCCCAATTTTGGCTGGTAGGAATCTCTTCAAGCCAGCTCTTTTCGTCCTTTTGTTGTGGTCTCATTTGACCTGGAGCATGTCCTTGCTTTCCAGAACAAGATGCCTTAGATCCACATTTGGACTTTGTTTTCTCCAAACCCAAACTTGCTGTTTCTCCAAGGGATTCTGGTTCCCTTTTAGTGTGGGGAGGAGTGTTCAGGAGGCAAGGTCTGGGTGCTAGATGTGCTCACGGCCACTGGGGAGTCATGCCCTTAGGCCCTTTCAGTGTCCCCGAAACACATAGGTATCATGAGTTCAGGGCGTCTGTGTTTTTCAGAAGTTCTATAGATAATTCTGCTAGAGAGCAAAGACTGAGGACCACTGCCGCGGCCCATGCACAGTTTACAATTTACGATTGCTCTTATTTCGAAAAGGTCTTATATTTTCCACATGCTCTTTCCCCCATCCTCTGCCTCAGAGGGGATGGGTTCCAGCAGACCTGGGTTCTGGCCCCGGTTCTGCTGTTGAGCATGTCACGGAGCAGGCAGACTGACCCCGTGAGTGGGAGGGCACGGCGAGAACCATGCTGTGCCTGGAAGGGCAGGAGGGAGGGGATCACCTAGGGCCTCAGTTCAGGGCCAGGCAGTTTGCTCAAGCACTCGGGAGAGCGCTTGCTGGTCTTGAAAAGAGGATAAAATAGTGTCTTTGATCTAATGAACTCAGTACGGCATGGCTGAGGAGGGAGGGGGCTGATGGGGGCAGTTCCCCATTTTATAGCCGCAGAGCCAGACCCGAGGTGGGGCGGGGGGCGAGGAGCTCGGCCGGCACCTGTCGCAAACCAGTGGGACTCGGCGATGGGAGCCTGTGCGGCTCTGGGCTCACAGCCCTCTGTGCTTGGGGCTCTGAAATTCTGACTCTGAGACTGTGAAGAGATTGAACAGGCAGGAGGAAAACAAACACCCCAAACCCTCCGATATGTCAGTAAAGACAGGAACTCCGTCCAGTTCATTGAATTTTGTGCGTGTGATCTGCCTCTTTATGTGAGAGAGAGAACGAGAGAGAGAGCACATGAGAGGGGGGAGGGTCAGAGGGAGAAGCAGACTCCCTGCCGAGCAGGGAGCCCGACGCAGGACTCGATCCAGGGACTCCAGGATCATGGCCTGAGCCGAAGGCAGTCGCTTAACCAACTGAGCCACCCAGGCGCCCGATGAGTGTGTGTTGAGTGCAGGAGAGAATGTGGCCACTGTCAAATGTGAGTAGGGATTCACAGCCTCCTGGCACCTTGCTAGGTGGGGGTCACTGTGTCCCTGCGGGGGGAAGGCTTCCCTTTGGTACCATTGAGTCATTGCTGTCAAATGTCTGAAAAGCCAGGGAAGCCTGAAGCACCGTTTGCCCCCCTGTGCTGGGTAGAGCCCGTGTGGGCTCGTAAAATGCCTGCTTCTGTTCTGCTTGGGCCTGCCTTACAGTCCCTTGGCCTCATTCTCCCCGTCCCAGGCCTGCGTGACGCAGTAGGGGACTGTGTGCTGTGACTTCCTTCGAGCTGACCGTGTGAAGGGGGGTAGGCGCTGGCCACCGGCCTGGGCCAGTGAACAGGACGGACGGTGCGCTCTAGCCTGATGATAAACACCCACAGCAGGTGCCCACTGCCCCAGCACGTTGAGAAATCATCTTTATTTAAGAACTGCCTGCTACCAGAGTCAATAAATAACTACCATCAGAAGTATAAGAGAGACGAACAATAGGCCAGTGGGAGTGGTTCCATTTCAACAAGAACAGGGTCAAGTCAGGGGGATCTGATGGAGCCCTAGCCCTCGCCCAGCCGTGAGCCCGCGAGCCTGCAGGCCCTGGATGGGGCTGGGTAATTTGGAGTCGGGGCCAAGGCAGGGTGCACCCCATCGAAGGGTGCTAGGCTCCTTGGGGCTCTGGGCAAAGTTATCTGGCCTAATTTTCCCCCCCTCTCCAGTTTCCCTTTATTATCCTGCCTTCTCAAAGCCTATGACCATATATACAGCTACCAGGCACCTCTTTCCATGCAGCTTTTAGAAGTCCCTTACAGATGCCCACCTAATCCCTCACACCCCTCCAGGAGCCTCTCGGGCAACCTCGTTCATCCCAGGACAAAGCCCCGCTTAGGTCTGACCTGGGGAAATGGCACCACACCTGGGCCTCGGGAACCAGGTTTGAGGCTAGCCCTAGCCTGCCAGCACTACCCTCTGGTTGGTGGTCACATTCTGAGCCAGGAAGAGAAAAGAGAGTCCTCTAGGTGGGGAGGAGATGAAAGGGAGTGAAACATCCTTAGCCAGCTTGGGTTCTTGCCCCGAGGAGCCTCCATGGCCCCTGGGGCTGCCGAGAGGCAGTGTCTGCCACCAAGGAATGCCCGAGGCGAGCCTCCCCACTCCGTGACAGTGACTGTGGTCGCTACATCTGCAGGAAGGGGCCACGGTGGGAAGGAGTGCCAAGACTCCTGTGCTGACCGCAGAAACGCGGTCCTGCAAGGACGCTCAACAGCATCTCCTCACCCTCCAGACTTCACCGGGCTTAGACCCCAGACCGACAGCTGTCAGAATTCCCCAGAGGTCCCTAGAAAAGGAAGCAGCCTCTTCATCCCTCATCCCGGGCTCTCCCTGCAGAAGCTCTTCCTGATGTCGGACCTCAGACTCTCCTGTTATTTTATCAAAAGAAAAAGAGCCCCTTTTCATGGCTTTTCTGTCCCCCGGCCCATCTCTGTCATTTGACGACCTGAATGGAAGTGGATAGCCTGACCTCGCTGGCCCCCAAGACCTGAGCTGGAGAGAGCTCCCGTCCACCTGAGGGCGAGGTATACATCCAGACTGTTAGAGCAACGAGGACCAAGTAGCCAAGACCAGGGGGCAGAGGGCCCTGTAGGCCGAGCCCAAACGTAGAACGGAGAGACTGTTCCCCGCGGCCCCGAGGCCGTG